GTATTGATGAAGTTTTAGAAGGAAGCAGGTACATGATAGCTAGGATAGATGGAAAAGTTAATTAATAGCCATTTTGCTCATAAAATAGCTACCTCAGCATAATTTTCCCAACTCAACAACATGATTACTAGAGTTACAAATGTGAACGTCAACAAATTTGATTACGTCTTTAATAATAAGAACTAACTTTGCAATGTTGCAGACAGATAAAATTTAAAGGATTATGAGCTAAAAAAAATTGCAAGAATTAATACTAAAACATGCTAAAATAATTATATTTTTCAAATAAGTTAATACACGAGTTTAGCGTGTGAGGCTCAAGCTTTCTTTATCATTTTAATACATGACTGACTGGCACAGAAGTGACGCTTGATCTGATGATTATGCATACTTTTGAACACTATTATGCTTCAAATTTTAATAATTACTATTTTTAATTTCATTGATGTTACCCATCACCTATTAGTCAATGAGAGAGCGAACTGCATTTGAATTTTATGGACACTAATAATTTTGAAAACTTCACTTCATTTAATTAATTGACAACCAATATACAGTAATATAAGCTTACTTAGAGGATATACCGAAAGGTCAAAGGAAAAAAAAAAAAAAACAGAGAGATATACGGCGACGTCAATATTATCCAATTTAATCTTCTCTGTCTTACCGAACCAGAGATTATAAATTTATAACATGTAAACTATCGTTTCCGAAAATTAAACTAGAATGATAAATTACCTTTCCAACTTTTAAGAAATGCTGAAATTACAAGCTAGGTTTTTTTTTTTTTACTTTTTTCGATTTAAAATAATATATTGTTGCTGGTGAAATTTGACTTGGTTTGATAAACATAGTCTTAATATCTTTCCCTTGGAGTAATTAAGGGTAAATTTGGGGTGAAAATAATTAATGCGGTAATCAATTTAGAAAATATCTTGTAAAAAGAACCAAAACAGACTTGTCAAAAGGCTTCTAAAGGGAAGGTTTCTACACAAAGCATGGAGAGTTGGAATAGGTCTAACAATTAATTTTTTTTATGACTTATTTTTTAACACATCAATAGACATAGAGAAAATGACAAAAAAATTCTATAAAATATCTAAATACAAAATAAATTTATCATTACACATAGAGAAAATGACAAAAAAATTCCATGAAATATGTAAATGACAACAAAATATTGTAAAATGTGATAATTTTTCTCAAGTTTTTTGAAGCTTTTCTAGCATTAATATCTTTTATGAAATGATTAGAATGTCCCCAATTTAAAATAAAGAGATTGATCATTGATTAAAAAATTTGTAGGGTGAAACTTGTCATTTGCTCTCATGGTTTAATTATTGTTAGAAGAAAAGTAAATTACTTAAAACAATGTGATCGCTAATATTTATAATACTTGAATTTTTAAAAAATTTGCAGAGAAAAATTTATAATTACTTATTCTATTTTAATCATTATAAAAAAAGTAATCATTATTTTAAAAAAGTAGTCATTGATACTTATGATACTAGGACTTTGATGACTTAAAAAATTAATTGAAATTATTATAATCATTTCACAAAAGACATCAATATCAAAAAGATCTTTAGAAACTTTAAAGGAATTATCACATTTTGCATAACTTTATTATTATTTATATATTTTAGAGAGATTTTTTTTGCTATTTTCCCTTACAAATATTTTACATATAAACTTAAAATATACTCCCTTCGTTTAAAAATGTAAGACATTTTTAATCGAATTTTACTCTCCAATAAAATAGTTATCTACTTTTAAACTAACCCTATCTTTTTATATTTATTTCTATTAAACACCTACAATAAATATAAATTCATACATCAATAAGAACGCTTTTAAAATAAAGATAATGATTATACATTAAAAAATTAAAAATATCTTATATTTTTGAACACCCAACTCTTTAAAAATGTTTTATATTTTTAAACAGAAGGAGTAGTACTTTTATTTTATTAGAGATCATATGATATCTTGTGCTTGTTTCACTTCAACTAAAAAATTTATTGGATTTAGATTAATTTGAAAAGGACCATAAAAGGTGACAAAATTAAGTTGGCACAATTTCACATTAAGTACTCAACATAGTTTCATTTTTAAGTTCTAGAATTCAAAATTTTTGTTAAGTTCTTGTAATTTTACTAGTTGAACTAATATATATCAATTTAATGTCTCAGGAGAATTTTAGCTTGATATGTTTACTTAAAACAAGTTCTTATATAATTTTAAAATGTGTCAATAAAATCACACAACAAATTATTCGCAAGTATCAATTTGAGATATTATACATCATCATTCACATGTGTAATTGTTTAATACCTACTCAAATTATAATTTTATAAAGGCAAATAAACGTGGACTAAAGCAGTACAACAAAAAAGTAGCAATTAACTTTTAAAAGAACAAATTAATAATAACAGTCACGTTCCGAATAAAATTTTTAAAAATAAATTATAAATATTTATTCAAATAATTAAAAATTCAAACATTTATATATATATATATATATAAGAAAAATATGCTCCATCTGTTAAGAAATGTAAGACATTTTTTTATCTAAATTTTTGAGGGGTTGGATATTAAAAAATATAAGGCGTTTTTATTCTTTCAAGATTTAGTCATTATCTTTTTTTTAATAGTGTGCTTATTGAATAAATTATTTTACATTTATTTTAGAGTTAAATAGTGGTAAATATAAAAAGAAATAGTTAATTTGAAGACAAGTAACTACTTTGTTAGGAATATAATTCGATTAAAAATACCTTATATTTTTAAATGAAAGGAGTAACTTTTAGTTGTTTTTAATAATTGATCAAATTAATACTCCTTCCATTAAAAGATATAAGGCATTTTTAACTGAATCTCACCCTCCAATAAAGTTGTTACCTACTTTCAAACTAACCGTATCTTTTCATATTTACCCTTATTAAACACCTTATAATAAATATAAAGTCACTATTAATATGGGTACTTTTAAAAAAAAAGCAATGATTACACTTCAAAATACTAAAAATACTTACATTTTTTAATATTCAACTCTTTAAAAAATATCTTATATTTTTCAACAGAGGAAATATTTATAATTTATTTTTCAGTAAATTTTATTGAGCAGCTGTTATTGATTTATTTTTTTGAGACTCTTTTTTCATTTCTTATAAATATTTTTTTATTAAAAATAATACTATTCAAAATATAATATAAATCTTTTAATTAAAATTTGAATATTAATTCGTTATATTTTATTTAAGTTTTTAACCGCGGGACACTAATCATTTTCATCAAACTTAACTTTCCTGGCTTTTCTTTCGATGCTGCTGTTGAAGGGAAGGTGTCGGTTGTGGGACCCATTCTTGGTCTTCTCTCTCTTCCTTGCCACTCACGAAGTCGGCCACCGACGCGGTTGATCACGAACCATTTGACCCAACCAAACGTCGTCGTCTTGTGAGAAAAAGACCGCGCTTTTTTCAATTTCTTGCGAGATAAATCCCATTCACGTGCCCATCATCATCAGACGTGGCTGTCCCTCTGCCGCTTTCTCAATTATCTCTGTTTTGGAAATGGGATTGAGGTCGGTTTTCTCGTTGGGAGCACATTTAAAAACTCCTTAAAAAAATTATTTACACAGATTAATACAAATTAAATAATTATTAAAATGAAAAAATAAATTATTTTTTAAATGAAATTTATTTTTAATCATTATCTGTGAATAATTTTTTTTTGAGGTGTTCTTGAATGTAATTCTTCCTTTCTCGTTTCTTACTCCTTTTTTATTTTTACAAAAAACTAGAATTTTTTATTTAGTAATATTACTCTGGCAAAAAAAAAAAAGAAATATAGTAATATTACAGTATATTGATTATGACTTAGTTCTAGAAACATTGTAACATGAACAAGAGGACATGAATGAACTAGATGAAATCTTGTCTGAGCTCCTTAAATATATAATTGAATAATTGAAAAAGCATCTTTTAAAAGACAGATCACATCTTAAATGAAAACCCAATATTCTTACACACTTGTGTTGGATGTGGAGGATACCAAAAAAGGTTAAAAAAATAACATTTATAGAATTTTTTTCAAAACAAATTTGTAAATTTAATTATATTTTAAACTACAATTTTTCTTTCCAAAGGTTTACAATATTTTTAAGTTAGAGTAATGAACTCAATATTCATTCGTAAATTCATAAAAAAGCTTGCTTGCACATAGTGCCATAATAGTACCTCCTTTTTAGTTAGTTAATATATATATATATATATATATAAAATAATGTAATCAAATTATATAATTGAGAGTTGATTAGGCGAGTAAAATGTCGGGTCTATTTTAATATTTTCGTTCTTTAACCCTTGTGTAATATTGGGATTGCTCTTTTATTTTTTGATTTGAACATGGGCTGATCTACTTGTATCAATGTTTCAATATTCTTTTTCTTTTATTAATATATTGCAGTATATTAAGTGCGTGAAATATAGTAATATTACTCTGGCAAAAAAAAAAGAAATATAGTAATATTACAGTATATTGATTATTGACATAGCTCTAGAAACATTGTAACATGAACAAGAGGACATGAAATAGATGAAATCTTGTCTGAGCTCCTTAAATATGTAATTGAATAATTGAAAAAGCATCTTTTGAAAGACAGATCGACGTCTTAGATGAAATCCCAATACTCTTACACGCTTGTGTTGGAGTGGAGGATACCAAAAAAAGTAAAAAAAAAAAACATTTATAGAATGGAAAATAAGTTATAATTATAATATAATAAATCATATTTTTTAATTGCACAAATAATTTTATTCAAAATATGAATGGACCCTAAATTCTTCTAGTCGATTTTAAACGTTGGTTCCTAAATCACATTATTTTATTATTATTTACTTCATTATTTAATTTCTCAATCTGGAATCTCCGTTATGCCCGGAGAACGAGCCTAGCTCTGTTTGTATAAAAGTCTAATGTTGTATATATAAAAAAATAAACAGTTTCTTTGGACGGAAATTTCCCTGGGAAGATTTATACTTTCCCTGGGAAATTTTGCGCCTATCGAGCAATCCGAGGGAAGGCCATGACATTGGATGATTGGAGATAAGAGAAACTGAAACTGCCTGAGGATTATACCCCACTTGCCCATTTGCTTTATCTTTCGAACGTACGATTCATCCGTCGCTTTCTGGCAAAAGTTTTCTTCTAATGGCAGCGTTCCAATTCCAAAAGCTTAAAAGAGCAAGAAGCAAGCAATGACGAGCGTATACCCACATTCGCATTCTATTCCATTCCTTCAGAATTCTTATCACTAGAATTTCACAGTCCTTTTCGATTTCACGGAAGCTGCTGGTTTTGCAATGAAGAACCCGCGGGAGGAGAAGCTTCAGAAGCTTCAATGCTCCGTCCAGAACTACAACTGGGGTCGATTGGGTCGAGACTCTCAAGTTGCTAGGCTCTTCGCTTTGAATTCTGGGTCACGATTCGAACCTGATAAGCCGTACGCCGAATTATGGATGGGTACCCACGATTCAGGGCCTTCGTTCCTGGTTGCCAACCACAATAACGGTGTCGTAGATGGTTCAGAGGATGTGACTCTTAAGTCGTGGTTGTCAAGGAATCCAAATGTGCTAGGGGAGAAGGTTTTGAAGAAGTGGGGTTGTGATCTACCTTTCTTGTTCAAGGTATGATTCTGTATCTTGTGTGTCACAAATCGGAAAGGAGATCGGAGAAGGGCGCTGTATTTTTGTCTTTCAGTTGCTTTGGGCACGTATTTTGTGAACTTTTGTTCGGCCTATTGCTGCCTGATCTTGAGGCAAACTTCTCTCATCAATTTTCTGTGTCCCAGACTAGAATTAAAGAGGGGATCAGAAAAACAGATACTGGGCAACGTTTCTTCTTCTTCTTCTTCTTCATTTTAATCATGGTCAACTTTAATGACCGAAACAAAGTCAAGGTCAACTTTGTATGGACTATTCCTCTTCAATCATATGGCGTACTGCCCTTGTGGCAAACTTACGATTTTTACTCTTATAATGCTACCTCCAAGAATGATTGCAGGCCAATTTATGGATTCTGTGCTTATAGGTTCTGTGCGTGTGTCAGGTACTCTCAGTGTCAAAGGCGCTATCAATACAGGCTCACCCAGACAAGGAGCTGGCCTGGACTTTGCACAAGTTGCGGCCTGATGTTTATAAAGATGGAAATCACAAACCTGAGATGGCTCTGGCAATGACCGACTTCCAGGCCCTGTGTGGGTTTATCACTCTTAAGGTGATTCATTTAATGTGCGGAATCTTTTCTATCAAATTTTTTAATTATATAAACGTGTGGTTTCAGCCAGTAAGTTCTAGATTGACATTGCTATAAACAATTCTTCGATCATGTTCAGCATAAAAAGAAGTATTGCTATTCTGAATTACGGTTTGGTGTATTTGCATTTTAGTGTTCTTGATGGGGTAGAAATTATTTGAAGTTGGAAACCCTTTTACTTGACTTAATTGGTTTTTGTACTTTAGATGATTGGAAGAGAACGTTCTCAATCTTCCATAATGATGCTACTGGGTCATCTTTGTTCCTTAAACCGTTCGTGAATAAGTTAATCATGTAACCCTTGTTCACCTGCACTTTTCTGATGTAACCTTTGATAGCCAACCAGACAGTGCAGTTAGAATATCCCGTGAGCATATTGAGTCACAAAAGTTTGAGTTAATAACTTAATATAGGAAATAAGAATCATGTACAGTGCAGAAAATGGAGTTAATAACTTAATATGAGAAATAAGAATCATGTACAGTGCAGAAAATGGAAGCTTCGCCATGAACTATAGATCTGTTAACGAGGGCCTTCCAGACTATTAGATTGCTTTTGCTTGCACGTTCTATTTGATGAGACTTACCATTGGGATTTTTTTTTTAATGATGTATTTATTAACGTGGGCCTTCTAGACTATTAAATTGCTGTTGCTTGCAGTTTCTATTGGATGAGATTTTTTTTAATGATGTATTTATGTTATGGTGGTTGACCTGGACCACCATTTATGCCCCCTGCTTTATTTGTATGTACAGATTGGTGTAATCACTGGAAACCTGGAGAATTTGTTCAAAATAGTTATTTGGCATGGGATAATGCCGCTACTGTGTTCTATTTGTACATTTCTTCTAGAAAGTCTATTAGTTCAAAAGAGCAAGATGAATGCCAAGCTTGGGTTGACTGCTTGAGCTTGAGGACCAAAATATTCAATTTAGAATCTTAGTGCAGTTTAACATGGATTGAGTTTCATTATCCTAATCACGTAGATAATTCACATATCTGCTTATTGTCCTGGAAGGCAAGTGTGCCATATAAGGTGCTTGGATTCTTCCAGAGCATATCACTGAATACGTTTTAAGCGCCCCCCCCCCCAAAAAAAAAAAAAAAATCCTAACTTTTTATTTTGTATTTATTCCATGGTTTTAGGCTCTGGGCTTTTCTTATTTTTTAAGATGCTTGTATTTTTATTTTGTATTTACTTTGGACATTTTGAAGTGCATAGTCATTTCCCCCCTGAAGTTTTAGTTGGTTCTGGAGTACATATGTATCAGGCTGTTCATGAGGCCATATTGTCAGGTAAAGAGCGGTTTTATTTCTATGAGCCACAGATTAGTATTTTTCTTTTTCGGGCTACATCTTTCTTATGGTAAATGTGCAGACATTTGTTTAACTTTTTTTAAATGCATACTTGTGCTGTCATTCACTTGGAGCAAGTGAGCTATAACTGTGTTTTCTATTCAGGAGCTAAAGGCTGTGCTTCATACTGTTCCTGAGGTTGTGGAATTAGTTGGCACTGCAGGTGCAAGCTTGGTCTTAAAAGTTAGTGATCAGGACGGTGAAGGGAAAATAAAAGCGGTTTTACAGGAAGCTTTCACCAAACTCATGTCAGAGAGTAAAGAGAAAGTGACTGAAGCAGTAAATAGACTGAAAAGTCGGCTGCATAAGGAAATTCAGGTTGGTAGATAACATATTCTCTTTCTTGTTACAATTTACAAATATATCTTGCATGCACAATCAAGCTTTTGAATGCAATGCACTTAATCCCATAGAATCAGTTCGATGTTATAGCAATTTTGTAAAACCAAAGCTTAAAATTTACCTCTATCATTGCCAGATGACATTACCTTCTCTTTAGAAAGGACCAGAAGTTTGCAGTCTTGTCTGTTATTATCTGAGAGTGGTCTCATTGATAATTGGATACAATCAGGCTGAACTCCTTGCTTCCTATCCTCCATATTGTGCGTTACAAAGATATAGGGTGTTAAAGCAGCTTTAATATCTAGCTGACATTGCCTTGCAGATGCACTAATCTCTTTAAAGTATTATGAATATTATAGATTGTTATTTTAATGATAATGTCTTTATGAATATATGTTGCCAGCACGAACAACTTGTATTCCATACCATAATATTCTCGTTTTGCATTAGGTGAGGCAGTTGACAGATAAGGAGAAGCTGGTTCTGCAGTTGGAAAGGCAGTACCCAGCTGATGTTGGTGTCATGGCAGTCTTCTTTCTTAACCATGTTAAACTCAATCCTGGTGAAGCATTATACCTTGGGGCAAATGAACCACATGCCTATTTGTGTGGTGAGTGCGTTGAATGCATGGCAACTTCAGACAATGTCGTGCGTGCTGGCCTTACCCCAAAGCACATTGATGTTAGCACTCTGTGCTCCATGCTCACTTACAAACAGGTAAGTGATAGATCTACACTGTGCTTGTCACTGGAGTTTTGTTATAGAAACTTTAGTTTCCTTGTAAGACTTTATCACAAGCGCTGGTGATATATGGCCCAAACATTGAGAATTGCTTGCTAACCATTTAATCCAGCCTTAACCCTGGTAGGATGATACATGTTAGGGATCATTTGTCTCACTAGGCTGAGGAATATGCGGAGACTATTCAGTTCTTTAATTTTATTAGATTACAGAACTGTGAAGCAGTGTGTTCTGAATGCTTCCTTTCCTTTTCCTAGGGAGGTGCAGGTGGGAAATCAGTTTTGTTAGCCATTTTTTGTGTTATTTTTTCTTTATCTAAAGAGTTAGTTTGCATAATTTGATTTTTGTTGAGTTGTACAATTCACTGTTCAACGAAGCTCCCCCCCTCAGAGGAACGGGTGGAATAGTATGGTTCTAGAAATTTTATTCTTTTTAGATTTGTCTTTTGTATTAGTCAATGCAAGTTGGAAAATATTTGATTCTAACAACTATGCTCTGAGAAAAATGGGATGATAGAGATCTTTATGGAAAGATCCCATGTCAGGAGCCAGTGTTCAAAATTTGTACATTCCTAGCATCTTGGAACTCTTTTTTTTTCCCCCTGATAATGAGAACTAATAGATAAATCAATGTAGACACAATATTTGTGGGGCTTTTGGTTCCTCTGATTTTTTATTTTTCAACTGAGCCTAGGTTTCTATCGGTTTGTCTGCATTGCACTTGGCAAAGAAGCAATACTTACTGCTGTGTCTTCAGAACCATCAGTCGGAAGGGACATAAAAGAGGGATTTTGATCTTCTCAGAATTTAGAAAATTGACAGTGTCTTTTTCAAAGAGAGGGGAAAAAAACATACACTGGACATGTACTCATCATCCTAAGAAACTAAAAGTGGGCATGCATTGCATAAAGTTCAAGAATTGACCTGTATCGTTTCATGGCTTATGAATGGTGTAGCTTGTTGTATATTTTACATTGATTGTGAGGATCCAAATCCCAAAAAAGTGGGCTGTCTGTTTTACTTTACCAACTTGCTCAAGCCCACAAAGCTTTGTTGCGAATATTGTCTCATTATTGATGTGAATTATGGCGTGAATATGTTGTGCTAATCCATTGATTTTCATTTTTCCTGTGTCTACTTTCGCTGCAGGGTTCTCCTGAGATTCTGCAAGGAGTTGCTCTAAATCCATACGTGACGAGGTACATCCCACCATTTGACGAGTTTGAGGTTGATTGCTGTATTCTTCCTAAAGGGGAAACAGTGACCTTCCCTACAGTTCCAGGTCCTTCCATCTTTTTGGTTGTGACAGGGGAAGGACTGATGAGTGCTGGCTCACTCGAGGGGCAAGTAGTCACCGAAGGGAATGTTCTCTTTGCCGCCGCCAACTCAGAGATTCGAATTACCAGTGCATCCAAATTGCATCTGTATAGGACTGGTGTTAACAGCAGATTTTTACAAGCTTCATAAGTTGCAATGCATGGCCGTATAGTTTTTGTCTGGGGAACTGGTAAAGCTTGCCTCATGCTTTATGCAGTCTGTGTGGTAATAGTGAATTTGGATTATAGTACTATTAGTTGCAGTTTGGTGTATATTCAAGGGCAATGAGATCATAGTATATTGAGTGACAAGTTCGTTATAGAGAGAAGGATAGGTGGGTTTTTTTTTTTTTTGGGTCCTCTTTTAGATGTTTTCGGTTTTGTTTCCCGCTCAAATTTGTTTCTTGTTTATAAAAGTGTACTTGATATGCCTTTTCTATGTAACGTGGTCAGTAAAATAAAGATTTACCCTTATGCATCCCCAATTCCTCATATATTTTGTTAATTGTGTGTGGCGTAATATTTTTAGTAGAATGCTTTGTCTTCGATTTTCTTCAAATTATATGGATTTTCTTCTATTTAACTTGCTCAGATGCTGGCCTTTTGCTATTAAAAGAAGTTTTCCAATCAAATTTGTCATGATTACGGTTTGCAAAATAAAATTATTTGTAAATAATTAACTTATCGCAACCTGTCATCTCCTTCCTCCTGCTTTCTTGTTTTTCTCCTAAATTTTTCGATATAAAGAGTGAGCAAATCTCTTTCCCCAAATTGAGAAAACAAAGTCTCTTCCAACACATTCAAATTTCTTTTAATGCAAGGGCACAGTAAAAATTATACAAAAAATAATAGTAATAATAATAATAAGGGTTAATGAGTAAATAGGATTTTACACTCTTACTTGAAAATCATCCTAAATCTTGAACCCTGAACTTTTAAAATATGCAAAATAAATTTTAAACTTTTAAATTTATAGCCAAAAAAAACCATGATTATTAACTTTTTTAAATACCGTTACTATCCATGCAGGTACTGTAACATTCAAGATTAAATTTGAAGGAAAATGAATTCTGAATAGTACTTGCATGAACAGTAACAACATTAAAAGTTAATGGTTAGGGTTTATTTTGCTATAAATTTAACAATTTAGAATTTATTTTACATAACAACAACAACAACAACAACAACAAGCTTAAGTTATATCTATGTACAAATGATTTCTACAACTAAGTAGTAGGATATAAAAAATCTGAATATCAATATTATTAGTAAAGGCTTAGTGAATATCAATATTATTGGTAAAAAATGTGAATATTACTAAATTAGTGCAGTTTTATAAAGACATGTTGGAAGGTGATTGCTTAGTCTTGTAACAAGCTTTCCGATTTTGTTGATAGTTTTAGTGCATGGATAATTTACAAAGAACTTGTTACAGATAAGCATGAGTGCTTTAATAAAGTTAGAATAGATATTGACTTTGATGAATTTTTCATTCTAACAAATGTTAAGATTTTTAAGAATACCCATGAGCTTCACGGCTTGTAGTAGTGTTAAGATGATATCCAAGATATTTAGAGAAGTCTTTAATCCAATTTCTTTGATCATTTTAAATGAGTCCACCACTAGCAAATACATTATAGTGGCTTACTAATTCATCAATATCAAATCTAACTCATCTTGCTTTAAGGAGGCACCATTTTTCTTTAAATTTGCCACTTCGAAGATTTAAATATTTGAGTCTTGTTGATTGAAGGTTAATATAACTAAAAATATTTTAGATACTCGTAAAAGTAATGTCTTTGTTGAGAGTGCTTTTTTCAAAATAGATGTTTTTACATATGTCTGTTCCAACATACATGGATGAAGAGTTTGCACCAAGAAATTTTTCTTGCACTCAAACTTCCTGTATCATTATTTGCATTTCAAAATATCAATTCAAAATTAGGTAATAAGTTATGATAATCAAATCTAAGCTCAAGTGGTAAAAAGGGTGGGGTGATATATAAATAACAAAAATAATGTAATAAAAATGTGCATGACCTTTTTATTTATCCTTTATTTCTTTATATCATGTAGATGCAACTGACCAAAACCATTAATTTTAGTAGTCAAGTACTCAAGTTAGATGAAACAAACTTGATTTTTTCTGGTAAGGTTTAGGGTTTAAATTTCATACATAAAAAAACTTGTGGGAAGAGTTACTTCTAATTTAGTTTAACAATACTTAAATTAAATTCAATTGACAAGACTCTTATCAAACAACTGTATACTTAAATTAAATTCAATTGACAGGACTCCTATCAAACAACTGTATGAAATAATAATATTGATTTTTCCCATTACTCTTGAAGTTTATCCTAGATTTGGTATTTTTTGTGTGAGTTGTATTGAATCTAAAAGATAATTAACAATATTTATGATTTATGAATAGTGAGTTTGGTTATAACTTTTATTTTTATATTAAAAATATTGATACTAGTAATATTTAGGGATGCCAATACATTTTATGTTTATATTAAAATTTTTTATTTTTTAGTTTAAATTTCTAATTATGCTTAATTTTGGTTCATTTCCATAAATTAATTTAAAAATCAAAATAAACCAAAAAATTTTTAACCATGACAATATCAAAAGTTTCAATTAAATAATTTTCAACTATTTAAGGTCCTGTTTGTTTAAGAGTAAAAGATAATATATAGTTTATCAATTTTATAAAAATAAATTTATTTTATAAAAATTTTAAAAAAGATAGGAATTATTTTATTTTTAGTTACAATAATAAAAATTTATTATTAATTATTTATTTTTAAATTTCATGATATCTTATTTGATTTTTATTTTATTCAAAATAATTTATTATTTAATTATTTTAAAATTTTATGATAACTTTGTGTATCCTACTTTTGTAAAACATTTTTATTTATTTATTTATTGCAAAATATTATTTTTAAAATCTATTTGAAATAGGTTCTTAAAATAATCAAAAACCTACTGTTTTTAAATTCTAATTATTTTTAAAAATTTAAACAAATATAATAAAAACTTATAAGATATTTTTTAAAAAAAATTAAGTGATTTGTTTTCATAAAATAAGTTGAAATTAATGAGCCCAAAGCCACTTTTTTTGAGATGGGCTAGCCCAAACCCATTTTGAGGAGTTTATAATGGTCAGGTTAAAAAGTTTTTTTATGTTAAAATTTCTCATTTTTCTTAATTGTTACAATCTCTGAAATTAAAATAATAAATTTTAATAAAGTTTGTCTTTTTTAAGAAAGAAATAAAACATTTTATATTTTTTAAAGAATAATAAAACAAAAGAAATGCTAAAAAAGAAACTACACATACATAGATATGCAAATGTTAATTTTATAGGAATTAAAATTTTAATATTCCTTCTGTTTTTATTTATAAAAGAAACCATCACTTTTTGCTTGTTTTTTATACAAGCAAAACCATATATTTCAAATAAACATTTATTACACATTTTTTAAATCACTCATCATAATTTACATTAATGAAAAATAATTAATGCATGTTTGTGTTGATTAATATAGAATATTTTAATTTAATTTTTTTTATTTTTAAACATAATTATTGTAATTAATTAATTTTTTAAAACTTTGTGATTCATTTGTTTTTTTTTATCTCTATAGAAATGTAGGGAGTATGTATGAAAGAAAAAAACTGCAAAAGAATTACACACACCAGGACAGGCCCAAAGCTCATAAAACATGATAAATGATGGTAAAGAGAAGAAAGGAGAGTCCAATATTCGGGCAACATCCACATGATAAAATGCTGTTCATATAAAAGCCTTTTTATCCGGCATTCTCCCGCCTGCTGAAGCTAGGTTTCATCTCAGCGCAAAGCGCATAGCCGTTTACAAGGCCTTGGCTTCGCCGTTTGGTACGTCATCCCTTATCTTCCACCTCTTCATTATTTGTTGTCTTCGCTTCACCTTCTGCAACTTCTTATTATTCTTTTTCTCTTCAAATCTCACTCAATGATGAAAATCGGGCATTTCTGAAGCTGAATTTACAGTTCTGCTAATTTTCTTTTCACTTATTTGGTTTCTGGGTGCCGAACAAAATCTCTTCTTTTCCGATGCCGGAGCACTTCGGGCTTCTTGATAGTTATTTTCGTACTAGGACTGATATTGTTTTAATCTGGTAGGTCTATTAATTGTCTTGTCTGCATGTGTATCTCTATTAACAATATAGTGATTGAACTTACGTTCAATTGAGTGTTTTAATTGTGGTTAAATCATTGTGAAGCCAATTGTATAAACGCTAGTCTGGTTTAATTCTGGAAATAATGGAATTATATGTATGACTGTTACATTCTAATGACTTTTTTTTTTTACGGTGTTCCTTTTTTTTGCATTTATCTGAATTATCTTTTTTCCTGTAAGATACTCCCTCTGAACTACAATGTAAGTTGTTTTCTAGAAGCTTTACTTGGTATAAAATATAAGGCATTGGATATGTGTTTAATATTTTTTTTCAATTACACCCTCTCTTTGTTGAGTAATTAATGAAGTTATTTTGAGTAAGTCAATTGTTATATTTATTACTTTCAAGGCACAATTGGAAAGATGTGGAATTTTTTAGAAAATCAAGATCTTAATCAACTTCTTTTGAGAAACGTAAATTAGTTAACAATAATTTATATTGTGGTCCAGATGGGTAGTAGTTTTTTAACCCTCTTATTGTTGCTTTACCAAACCTAAAGTATTTGATGTAATTTCTATTTAACCAAGGGTCTGTCAGATCTTGAACCAATGAGATATTTATGATGCATTGGTGGCTATGTTTTGAACTAATGAAATGTACTATGAAACAGATTGGCCAATATGTACACATCAAGGAAGAAAATCCACAAAGATCAGGATGCCGAACCCACTGAATTTGAGGAGACTGTTGCACAGGTTAATTTCATTTTATTTTTAGAATGTTTATTATCTCATCCTTTCTGGTTTTCCTCAAAATTAAAACTCTGCAACTTTATGCCTGAGCAGTATCTATTTGACTTGGAGAACACCAATCAGGAGCTAAAAAGTGATCTGAAGGATCTCTACATAAATCAAGCAGTGTAAGGGTGTTACTCCACGCACAGTATGGTTGCACTTGGACAAATATGATCTAGAATTTAGACATATTTTGACTTTTCACCTGCCTGTTTATACTCTAATTTGGCATAGCTGATATATGAATGCATGATCCTTTTCTGAATGTTTGGTTAAACCAGTCTGAGGGGAACTCTTTTCTTGCAGTCAAATGGATGTTTCTGGAAATCGCAAGGCTATTATTATCTATGTGCCTTACCGGTTGCGGAAGGCGTTCCGCAAAATTCATCTTTGACTTGTGAGAGAGTTGGAGAAAAAATTCAGTGGCAAGGTTGTTGGCTATTACTGATGGACCATTTTTTGGCATTAATAAGCTGTTAAACTTTCCTTTATCATTTCTGTTCTATGTTTTGTTATCCAATTGATATTAATAGTTTTCCTAGTTCACTATAGTGTATAACACAAGATTCTACCAAATGACAGGAAGTTGTCTTGATTGCCACTAGAAGGATTGTGCGGCCACCAAAGAAAGGCTCTGCTGTCCAGCGACCACGCTCTCGCACATTAACTGCTGTTCATGATGCCATCCTGGAGGATGTTGTTCATCCTGCTGAAATTGTTGGCAAGCGAATTAGATTCCGTGTCGATGGATCAAAGATAATGAAGGTATATCATTGCTTGTGAAATTAATGTGAATCCTAAGTTCTGGTTCTCTCGTTTGTGTCATATAATGTTTGAGCAACCCATTTTCCGTGTAATTTACCAATTTCCAGGTTTTCTTGGACCCTAAGGAACGCAATAACACTGAATACAAGCTGGAGACTTTTTCTGGAGTTTACAGGAAGCTTACTGGGAAAGATGTAGTATTTGAGTATCCCACCACAGAAGCGTGAAGAGCATCATCGTTTTTTTTTGGGCTGTGAAGATGAAGAGCATCATCATGTGCAGCGTTTGTCTGTTAGAAAATTAGAAGCTGTGTTAAATTTCACCCAAAATTTTGACTTTTTGGATTTCTCTTTATGCCTGTTTCACATCAAAACTAGCATGCAAGAGGCTTTTTTTATTTTATTTTTTTTGGGGGAATTCGAACGAATCAACACCCAACCTCATCCATACCACTTAGGCTTGTGTATTTTACTTATCATGGCACAAAGCTCTAGATTATTATTTTTAAACAAAAACGAGTTTGCCAAATGTATTCGTGAATTAATTTTACTTCTACCTTTGTTTTGGGTGTGAAGAAAATTAGAGTAAAAAGTACTGGCAGGAAAAACTTCTAAAAGTAGTTAATTTTTTTTCTTTTTGAAAGTTTTTACTTGTAGCATTCTTTCCTCTTTGTTTTCCTTCCATTTTTTCTGAACATTCAAATTAAGGTTTTTTCATGTTGATATTGCCACTTTATGTGCGGTAAGCTCGTTTCATTGTGTTTGAAGCGATGTAGTGTTTTAACTGCCAAAGAGTAAATATCATGGTTATTGACTATTTGGATTAATTATTATTATTAATATAATATACTATTTCTTAGCCAAGATTTTGGTTGAGATATGGAATTTATGGTTCCGTGGCCAAATCAATGAATGGGCTTGAGAATAACACCATTTCTTTCAGTAGTAGCGTTCTCATTAATAACAATACAAATGTGTACTTACCAACAAAAGTTATTTCAGTTGCTAAAAAATTTGACCTAATTCAAGATTGTGGGATCAAATTTTATCTTCTATATGAGGATTTTGTTGGTGAATATATGTATCTCAATTTTTTTAAGCCTACAAGTATGTCTTAATATTGTTGAATTTTTAAAATTCAATTCACCTAAAATTCTTTAGAAAAAAAAAACAGATATGTAAGGAACTTTTTTAGGTGGGTTCAAGTTGGCTCATCAAGTTTAATTTAAATTATCAGCTCTAATAAAAATGTATAAAAAATTAAAAATTACTACTTAATAGCATGCTGATTACAAAAAGTTTAAATATTGTTAAGTTGAATTGAAGTTAATTTTTTCCTTGTTATTTTATAATCATAACAAGGTTTAAATCATTGATTTATTTAAGAATAAATCTTTTCAATAATGACCATTAAAAGCTTTTCTTTTTTTGGGGCTCAATATGGCAACTAAAAATTGAATTATTTTTCTTTTGAAAATGATATAAATAAATTAAAACATTATTTCTTAATATTTGTATTTTTTTTGTAAGATTCAAAAAAGTATATTTCACCATATGGAGAAATCTATCTTTTACTCTCACTACTTTGAAAGATGATATGCTATTGACAAGATAAATTGAACTTTCATAAACTTGTTCTTTCTAATCAGATTGAAATGTATGGGTTAAATTTGAGTACTTGACCTGTTAACCTTTTCTAATATATATATATATATATATATTTGAAAAAATATAACTTTGAATTTCTGTACTTTATTTAAGTTTTGTTTTAAGTCTCTATATTTTTTGTTTTTAGTGCTCTAGGTTTATACAATTTTTTCCTAGTGTTTTAGGTCTCTCAAACATTAAAAAATAAAAGTATAAAGACTTAAAATATTAAATAAAAAGTGTAAGAATCTATAATAAAACTCAAGTAAAGTGTAGAGATTTAAAGTTAATTTTTTTTTATTTTTTTTTGAATAGTTGTAATAATGTATGGTAGTGGGTTATACTAGACCCGTTACTTTCTTCATTAACAAGTATCTTTTTATTCATTGATTCATATATTTTTGTCATATGTTTGTTTCATCAAATCCAGCCATTATTTGAATACCATAGCAAAATACATACAAAAACACTCACTTGAATGCTCATAAAAATGGAAATTCATTCATAATTGGCCACAGCTTGGAACTGCATAACCCAGCTCATAAACTCGCAGCTTGAACCACCTTCTACAAACTCTAATGTCTAGTGAGCATGTAATTCTAGAAAAAGAAAAGGTTTGACAGATTGGATTTGAATCTTCTTGTGTGAGAAGGATTACATGAAATTATCATTCTGCTTGCACCTCACTATTTAATTTTAATTTAAAAGGTACACAAATTGATAAAAAGATATCACATCAGATGATGAAAATATTCAGAACTAACAGGCAAAAACAAATTGATACGTATGTTTACGCAAAAACAAACATGCAAAGAGTCTAGACATGATTTAACCAGATAAAAAGGCGAATATTGGAAACCTTAGTTAACAACTGGTGTACTTTTCTAGTTTACCTTCAATTGAAAATAAATAGTGAGATGCAACAGAATGAGGGTAACATGATATTATTCTTTCGTTTGCAATTTCATTCATGCATCCTTCGTACCTAAATCATTTAGCCATGAAAGGATGACTTGTGCAGCCTTGTCCCAAGAAACGTCCAACATCATGTCATGGGCTACAGCTTCAACAAATACAGGCGGCACGCCATAAAAACTTGCTGTTTCTTTGAGACCCTCAGCATCCTGAAACCAAACAAGGATGGTGGAAGCTTAAGCTGAAGCAGTTCAAAATCAAGGCCAAAAAATATCAGTATCATGCAACGGATTTTATTGAAGAATCATGCATTAATAAATGGACAATATCTAGTGTTGTTATTATTCAGTAGGATATTCCAATGTTAACCACCAAAAGGAAGAAAGGGAGGGGGGGGATCTAATGTTGGTTTTACGCGTAATTGGATAAGGCTTCTTCTTGCTGGGTTTATCAGTGCGTACAGCTCTTCATCCTGAGTTTACCGTTGGGATGTGGCTATCTAAAGGTTCAAATTAGGTCTCTGGTATTAAGGTAAAGAATTTTTTTTAAAGTACTTTAAGAACCTATTAAAAATAGGGTAAAAGAGAAAATTGGCCCCTAAACTACATGTTTAGGAGCGTCCGGGACCTTAAGTTCATTTTTTGTACAATGTTTCTCTTTCACTTTTAAAAACAAAATAATCTGGCACCTAATGTTAATAAAAGTTAAATTTGACTGTTAATTGACCAAAAATGATAGAATAGGACTTCCAAAATTTCAAAAAAAAGGACTAATAAAATTTTTTTTGGTCATTTTTTGTAATTTTTATGTCCTTGTTTGTAATTTTTGTATCCTTTGCCATAATTTTTTTTTTGTCCTTTTCTATAATTTTTTGGTAAATTAACTTGTGTTAACAGTTGGTGCAAGTTACACCATTTCCAAAAGTTAAAGGGAAATGTTATACCAAAAATGAGTTTAGAGTCTTAGACATTCCTGAACCTATAGTTTAAAGGCTAATTTGCTTTTTTACCCTTGAAAATATGAATAATTAAATGGAAGTTTTAATATTTATACATCATATATGTCATGATTAATAAACAACATACAGATATAGGATTTCTTCTTTTTTCAATATAATATTAGATATAGATTTCTAAGTACTTTGATAATGAGCATGCCTGTCATGCCAGATAAAATATGCTTTAAGCTATCAAAATGTGGTTTTGGCAAAAGCAACAAGATGGTTCTACCAAAACATGGTTTTGGCAAGGTCCCAATGTGGTTTCAAACATGCTACTATTCATGTATTAAATCTTGCACTTACCACAATGAAGTCATCACTTGCGCCCACAACGAGAATGTCAAGAAACCCATCTGGCACTTTAGGCACTGGAAGGGATGCATTCAGCTTTCTTAAGTCAAACAATGGCACCCTTGAACTTTCTTTCATAAGTTCTTGATATCTGAAACAATAATAAATAATAAAGGAAACCAAAAGCTTTGGGGTCTAAGCAAGCTTGAAGGAAAATGAAGCTGATTTTATTTATAGCATAGAAAGGTCTAGCGATGGTTGCTAACACACACATCTAGACACTGCATTCACTATTTCTTTAAACCTGTGTACACTTTTTGAAATTTTGTCATTTTGTGTGCCGTGCAATATACACAGTGGAGGCTAGTTATTTGCAAAATGATGTACTGTTATAATGATGCCTGATGGGCATATAGTACACATAGACGACAATGTTTATGTGTCGAACTAAAGGCCATTAGTAACCAAACAAATAGGACTGAAACTTGTGTAAAGCAGTAGCGTCAACAAGATAATCCTAATGGCCACATATTACAACAAAGAAACACTTTTGAAACACCCAGGAAATTTCCAGTTAAATAAATCCAGATCAGCCATTATTATCATAGAATTAGAATCTAGGTCTTTTTGGGGTTTAAAAATTTAGTTTCTAATCATCAATTTAGACAAATAATTCTTTCATTATACACCATTTTAATTATATTTACTCCAAATAAACCCATAGTAAACTAACACGTTTCCACTGAAAGTCTAAAACAAAATCACAAGGGTTTCTTCAGTTTTGCATCTTGTACTGGCTCACGTTTTTCAAAAGGAGTCCCTTCCTTCTCTCCCCATTGCCTCTTTTTGAAGCTCTTGTTGCAATATACTCCTTTCGATCCTTATTGTAGGACATTTTCAATCACTTTATGCATCTTAAGAAAAGTTAGTTTTTTTTTTAAATCATAAAAAAAATGAGATGTACTTTCCTTTTTACTTAGTTTTAAATCATGTTACAATTACATTAAATACATTCATGTTAATCAAGAAAGGGTAAAATTTAAAAAAATGGTTTAATCATTACAAGGTGTCTTACGTTTTGGACCAAAATTACTTTTAGAAGATGTCTTATAACTAGGACTAGAGGGAGTACAAGGTCACATGACTTGATTCATTTCCACTATCAGTTTTCTATCGATTTTGTTTTGCCAAGATATTTTAATGTACAAAATCTTATAAAAAGCAGTGGTTGGACCCAAAAAAAAAAATCATATAAAATCCAATGAATATATTATTCAGCATCATCTTTCATTTTCAATAGATTTGTTTGTGGGAGAATTTTTCCAAAAAAGCAAACCTTTTAACCATAAGGTCCTCCATGGTGGCTGAGAAAAATGTCTCTCGACAAAGAGAAAGAGAGTTTTGAAAGGCTTTTGCCGCCAAGCTGCGTGTGACCTGCCAGGTTGGGCACACACACACACATTTTATATAAGCAAATTATTGAAAAATCATATTTCTTACAAAAGCCAGCTTGTGTACCTTAAAGGCAGCAACTGGCTTGGAAAAGAGATACCTCCAGACTAGCCCACTAAAGAATGTAAATAAAACTTCTCAGTCATGGCAATTGCATATACAGATTCTCTTTCTCTCTGTATCTCTAAAAAATATCTAAAAGCAGAGAGAGTTTAGTTAGTCACCTATTCCCAGAAGGTGGCACAGAGCAGATGAGGACAGCTCCTGTAAGTCTTGGGTACAAGTTTTTCATTTCTAGAATCAAGCCCAAAAAGAATTAGCAAAATAACTGAAAAGAAACACACTAAGGAAAAAGTACAGTGAAATTTAATAATACATCCAAAAAAAGACATCTAAACGGTATGTTGGATATGCTAGAATGACTTACAAGGGAATATGAATGAAAACAGGAATGGAAACATGAACGGGAATGGGATGGAATGGTATCACTTAATACCTTGTTTGGTATATTACAGGTAACAATATGAATGATTCCATAAAATAAAAATGCAACAAAAATATAAAATTATGTACCATTAAAATCTAATAAAATAAAGAATCTAATATTCAAAACTGCCCTAAGTATTAAATTGAGTTTGAATAAAATTGCTTTCGAGGGACAAATATTATATACTTGTTCCTTATCTGCACAGTTGATGGGTCTGGGGGAATACTGGCCCTGAGACATTAGCCCAACATTATAGTAGAAGGTTGACAAACAACATGGAGATCAAGGTGGAACCAGATTCAATTTTAAAAACCAGAAAAATGACAGATGGGAGGCTAGAAGTATTGGTTCAATGGAAGAATCTCTCTGCTTCTGACATAACCAATCAACAATTTCCAGATTTTCACCTTGAGGACAAGGTGAAGCTTGTTGGGGGAGTTAATGGGTCTGGGGGGAATATTCGGCCTAAGACATTAGCCCAACATTATAGTAGAAGGAAAAGAAAAACATGAGACAAGTTGGCAGGAAAAGGCGGGGCCAGTGTAACAAATTCTGACATAAAAGTGGTGGGGTGTGTGTGTGGAGGGGTAGGGAAAAAAAAATGTGAGGAGAGAACTGGCCCCTCAAATACTGGCATAAGGTGAGGCCTAAGGTTTCATTGTGCCTTTTCTTTTTCTTATTCTGTTTAAAATGGGTGTGTCCAAAAGCTTTGCATATTGGTTCTAGCCTTCTCCCGCTGAGGTTGAAGGCTTAATCAGTGATTTTGCTTCTATTAATACTATCACAGCATATATCAATATATTTCAGCTAGGTTTCCATCAACAGTTTTATTCCATTGATTTAACAAAAGAATGGTCACGCAAGACAAAACGCAGGCCATGATTCTCCATACATAGTTCTCCTTTCCTTTCTTTCTCATTCAAGCAAACCAAACATAACATAAAGCTCACACAAGACACCTTAAGTATTGAGGACAACAAGTGTATAAAATTATATACCCCATAAAAGAGTAGCTTGTATGCAGTACGAATTGATTGCTCAAGATCTGAGTTTAAGGATTGGCTATCTATGTAATGAGTTACTCATGATAAGAGAGAAATTACTGTCAATACCACAAATACTAAAAATTATGCCAATCCTCCAAAATAATTTCCCAAAAAGCAAAGTGTTTGTATTTTATCTAAGTCGCAAGAATTGATGCTGGGGTCTCATTCGCTATTTGTTTTCATGCACATGAAAGAATAATCTAGAAGGAGAAAGTACCTCCGAGTTGGTCACTGCCTAATGTGGCAATATAATACTGGATTATAAGCCCCCCAAAAGAATGCCCAAGTAATACAGGTGGTGATGTGACATTTTTATTGATGAAATCTGCAACATCTCTTGCGTGTGTCTACTGCAGAATTTGGAACAGACATGTCACCCTAAGCATCATCCATATGCTAATCTGTCCGGTCAATGAAAGTATATTCAAATATGTGAGAAACATGGAAAGTAAAAGGAGAGCTATTATACCTGAAGTGTGCCAGTAATTGAACCTAAAGGTGCATCACTTTCCCCCTGACCATTGAGAATATATGTCAGTTAGAAGTAAAGAATGAAGGGAATAGAGTGAAGTTTCCAAAGGTAGGATATAAGAATTGTGATGAAGACTTGATAGTATGGGATACCAATCCCACATTGAGTAGTATGGGACGCTCAATGGGGTATATAACTAGGTTGGTTCTCCCACTTCAACAGCTAGCTTTTGAGGTAGGGTTATCCATCCCACTTAGATACCCATCAATTGATATCAGAGCCTCATTGTTAGCGATTCTTGAGAGGGCTACCCATAGAGGGTTCTGACTGGAAAGAGACCAAGTTAAGTGCTATGGAATGCAGCCATTAGGATATCAAGTCCCACATTGAGTATGGGATGCTCAATGGAATATATAAGTGAGTTGGTTTTCTCACTTCAACAGCTAGCTTTTGGGGTAGGGTTCACCATCCCACTTAAGTACCCATCAAATTGCAAGTATGTAAATGAAGGTATTAATTTAGGTTTTGCAGCAGCAACCTGTGTCTAATCCATCTAGATGAAAAGATTAACCCTCAATGGTGACATTAAATTTACAGAAAACAACAACAAGAAGCCATCTTGCTCTATCAACACCAAATCTTTGGGTATATTGTTTTATTAAATTTAGAGAAAGTTTTATCAAATTCAACAGTATGTATTGGCATTTTTGAGTTAGCACTATCATGTAAATCAAATTTGATACATGCAACTTCAGTACCTTGCTAGCTACAAAAAGAAAAAAAGAGAGGTGGAATTTTATAACTTTTCTGCTTCCGCAACATTTGTGCAGGAAACCTGAAAACCAAGAGATTCTGCGCTATTTATTAAGACAGTAATGTTAATGTACAGATCACGCCAAACTCTTCATAACAAACGGCAACAAATGGTTGTCATAATGTCACACGCTCAAGACTCAAACTCATTCATCACCTTTGCAGCAGGTCGATTCTAAGATATTTCTTTCACAAGATCAATTCTGCGGGTAAATGTAATATCCTGTACCCTGTCAGACTAGGCATTAATCTTCAACACAAGCAAGACAAGGACACACCTTTTCACTTATGTCATTCCACTCATCAGAAAGTTCAAACTCTCAAGTTAGTACTAAAGGAGTGGATGGGGATCATCAGCTCATTTACAGGTTTCAAAATTTTTTCAAGGTCTCAAATTCTACGATGAGCTCAACTTAATTATTTTAGGAATACAAAGATTTATGCTTGACTTTAGTTCAACATATATCCTCGTAAAGATAACTTTGTGATATTTCACTTGGCAATAATGAAATGAACTGACTGTGCACTCTGAGTTCTTAATTTTAAACTCAGCTTATAATAAGCTTGGGGCTTCAGCAATGCGCAACATGCGGATAGTATGTCTTCATGAGTTACACTAAGACCTGATAAATTCATTTAAAAAGCCCAATTTGAAATGCTACATATAATAAGAGAGGAAACAATCCATTTTAAGATTGATTCTTTAAACCTTGAGACCGCACTCGCACGGTACAAATCCAACTAAGCTAGTATAACTCACATTTTGATTCATAAAATAAGTTCTAAATTTGGCACCGCATTTGGAATTTCCAAGTATTTTAATTATTGAGGAACGAGTTAAAGAAATTGGTATCAAGATAGGATTTTGTTCTAAAATCTACAGATTCTAGCCCGAGAGAGATAGAGAGAAAACCAACCTGTCCTAACAAGCTAATAGCATAACAATCGTACCCAGAAGCAGAGAAGAAAGGCAACCAGTGTTCAGCCCAGCACCAAGCAGCATGGTAGCTTCCATGAACAAACACCAAAGGTGGGTAATCTGTATTCTTGTCTTTTCCCCTTTCTACCTCTTCTGTAACAACACCCTTCTGCACAAGCACCTCCATGCTCAGACCGGAGGGAAGCTTATGAAAAATACGAGATTGCCCCTGCTTCAGATCGTACGGGACCTGCATGTGGTTGGATCTGCTAAGAACAGCCCGAGGCTTGGCGGAGATCCTTGAAGAGGAAACGTTGAAGCCGTAAAGAGAATGGGCTCGGAAGGAAGCAAGAAGAGAAGCCATTGCACAGAAACTTGCACTCCTTCAAAGTGTCGCTAGAATTTCAATGGCGAAATGCTTTCAGAAAATTGTTCTTACTAACTGTAAAATGAGATAGATGAGACAGTGCTAACAATCCAGAAGGAAAAGAATGAAAAAAATATATTTTTTAAACTGTTAAAGTAACTCACAGTCGAAAAAGATTCCCTCTTTATTGAACAGAAGGACACGGAAATTCGTGTAAAAGACTATTATTATGTCATATCTATAATCATGGGTCTATTGCATTCGGGAGACAAATTATCAAAAATACATATATTAAAGTTATGATAAGATATCATATAAATAAGAAGACGAGCGCATTTATTTGTTTTTTAGGGAACAAAAAAAAGATTCCCTCTTTGTGAAACTCCTTTGGCGTTTTTCATGGCAAGATAAACAAACTTTACAAGTGACATGTCTCCCACGCAGTTCCCCAAAAAAAAAAAACAAAAAACAAAAAATTTGAAGTATTGCATGACATAGCATGAAAATTCTAGTGTAAACCTGCACAATTTACTAAATACTTCGTTTATAAGTGGTTTTATCAAGATTCAATTACTATTTTGATTATTAATTCTTAAGCATACTTTAATCAGTTTAGTGACCGATTTGATCGTTCTAGACGCGTGCTATTGTTTATTAACTTAGTGAACAGTAATTGGCTCCAAGCTGCCAAGCTGTAGCTTCTCACATGGTTATGCTCTTTTATTTTCATTCTTTGCAGGGAAGTTAAATTTGAATTCTGAATGAAGTAGATAACAACTGACAACACATATCTTCCGTCCTTATCCCTGTCATATTGACCTGCCATTTGCCCCTCGTGTTCTGGCACCACTTTCTTCCATCCTTTCCTGTACCTCTCGCCAAAAATCACGTCTCTAGCAATATATCCCTCATCTCTCTTTTCCATTGCTCCGATCCTCCCATTCTCTCTGCCAAAATGGTTATATGTTGAAGTCATTAATCAAATGTATCTCCCCCTATTCGCAACTATTCGCCAGGTAATTACTCATAACCTATTGATTTTGTGCCCTCCTTTTTTTATTTAAAACTTCTCATTTTGTGTCAATGGTTATTTTTTATTTCTTTTTTCTTTCTATCTTTTTCTTTCTTGCAGATAGAAACAAACAGGCCTTTGGCTTGAGGATCACTTTCCCATAACATCAGCTTTGAGGATCATTGTGTTCGAACCCCTCAAACCTACTTGGAGAACCAACGATAGGAGCATCTGGCGAATTTTGGCAAAATGCATTGCACAAACTTGCAATTGTTGCCCTTTTAGTAGTGGCCAATTCCATAATAAAGGCAGAGCAAATGCCCAATTTACTGGACCTGATTCTTTAGGCTCAAAATACATATGGCTCGTCGAGAAACACCTCCTATGAAAGGGAACAACATCGCCATTGTTGATAGGTTGCATATTGTTAAACCCATCCCCATGTCTTGATTTAAGATGTGGATCGACTAAATCTTCAGGCTTATTTTTTCATCAATACTCCTTTCCTTTCATCTTTGTTAACCTTTTTCATCCATAATAGCATGCTTACCCTTTTTCTTCCACCAGTGTCTTCCCTTCTTCACCAGTGTCAATGCTTTTATCAAATAGTAACATCTAGCTGTAAGTTGGATCCGCATACTTCAAAGTCAAACTATTAAGCTTGTCTCATTCGTATAGAAGGGCAAATAAAAAATCACTTACAAATGTCATTTACAAATGTTTTCAGTTGCTATATATCTTATATTTATTTATTTTTGATAAAATATCTTATATTTATTTTAATTTATATTATATTGCTGATTTTGTTGATCACAAAAAAAACCTGCATTAAAATTGTAAAATAAACTAATGCAAGTTATGGTTGTGGTGGACAACTTTATCATAAGCCAAAAGAGTCAAACAAATTAGTATATTTTTATTATTGAAATACTAATGAATTAGTCCTCATGCTTTATATTATTTTTTAAATAGATCCCTATAGTTTAAAATTTTTCAATTTTATCCCTATTCAAACTGTAGCAAAGTTCTTGGTTATAATTTCTAGAGTTTGTATATCACTTCTTAAATTGATGACATGACTTAACAGTGTTACTAAACAAATGATAAGGTAAATAAATAAAGAGAATGATAATAAAGTCATAAAACAATAAATTTATGATAGTTAAGTTCTAAAAAATTTAAAAAATCAGTTGTAATTATTGATTCATATAGTCACAAATCTAGGAGTTACAATTACAAATGATACATTTAAATTTTAAATATAACTCTCATTTTATAGTTGGAGTTCCTATTTTCAAGTGTTTCAATCAATATTTATAATTTATTTTTTTATAAAATCTCTTTGGAGATTTAACTGCCATAAATTTTTAGTTTTGAGACTTTATTGTCATTATCTCAAATAAATAATCAAATGTTCTCATTTTCTTCATGTAAAAAAAAATAAGAAATCTGATGCGATTATCACATAAATTAACGTAGCCCAGGACAAGTGACTGAAAGAGCCCAATATAAGCCCATGATACTTTTTTTCGTAGGGCCCATTTGTTGATAGGCTCTGTTTTCTTCTCGTACTGGAACAATGGAACTGAACTGATAATTCACATTTCACAGGGAGATGGATGCCTGAATTCTACCAACAATAAGTAAATAAATAAATAAATAAAAAGATGGATGTCTGAACGCTGCGTTGCACAAAAAAAAAAAAAAAACTGAACGCTGAAACTTCAGACCAGACTGGTGAAGAAGTCTGAACCTTCGCAACCTGAGTTTGAACGGAGAGGCAAGGCCTGATTGAAGACACGATCTGTCCCGTCATGGAGTCTTACAACGGATTAATTTTTTGATTTTGTTTAGTGTTTACTACTTTCGCATGTATGCTACGCCGTGTTCATAGACATCGGCTCAATTTCTAGTGTTTCCCAAAATGATGTCTCCAAACCAACACTCGGATGATCGAGGATCTCCTCCTCATTTCAGGTAACAAAAGGGGAAAAAACACAGAATACTTTCTTGTGTGATGAATTTTGGTTTTGAACGTGAAGCAGTGTGATGAATTTTGGGTATAGTTCTGTTTCATCAGTTATTCTTTGGTGCACGGCATTTTAGTTGTTGTATGGACTTCGCTTTGTATTTAAAGGTGGTGAACAAAAATCTTAAAAGATCTTAGTTGCTGTAGCTGATTTAGTTTCTGAAGCTGTTTTTATAATTTAAAGCTGTCAACTTCTCTCGAGTGTTAGCCTAGTTTCAATTGAGACTGGTATGGCCAATGGGCTTTTATCTGTTTGTTATATTGGTGTTTTTAAATGTATTTGATATTGAACAAGTTTCTTTGGTATCCTTGTAGTTCATATCATAGAGTTTCAGTTTGGATTTTCAAGTACATTTTGCGGTCATTGGGTCCCTTTTTGGATCAGTCCAAGCCATTTCAAGGACTCAGTTAGCTGTTACTTTAGTACCGTACCTTGCACATTACTTGGCTTCTGGGCTGTATGCTTTGATTTTCATCTTTTATTTGTTAACCTAGCTTCTATGGGAAGGTTTGAAGTTTCATAACTTCGTTCATTCTCGTTATGCTGATGATATATTATTTTTCATGGAGGCACACACCGCTGCAGATGATCCATATCATTGCAAATTTCCTGAGAATATGGTCAATATACTCCATGTACCGCTACATATCTCAGACTGGAGCTTCAGTTGTTCTTTTTCTATTTGCTTGCCTGGCTCCATCATCCATCTTCTTTTTGATTTTGCAAAAGCCTTGGAAGGGTAGGCCACTTTCTAATACGCAGGTAAATTAAATTTTTATTTCCTGCGGAGAATATTTGAAAAGTATTAGAGACAAGATTTTTTTTTGGGTAATAAAGGAGACAAGTATTTTTATCATACCGTTGTTCCTTATTTACTTCCTGTTGTTTTACAGGTTGTGCCATCTGTAATAAATGGTGGTATAACAGCGTTGTATCTGATCTTATGGGGAAAGGGACTAAAGTCATGTGGACCAGTTAGGTTGGTTTTGATATGCTTGAAAATAATTATCATATGATAATTTAATGTTTCAGGTGCTTGATCTTGTTATTTAAATTGCTATAATATTGCTATGCATTTTATTCTTAGTGTGCAATATCATCTTCAAAAGTGACATGTTTCAGTTTGTAGGATGTTCATAGAAGCATAACTAACTATCTAGACTCTTGATAAATGGTTTCATTTTGCGGGAAAATTTGAACACAGTGGACATGGTTTAGTTGAAACACATTGTAAAGTGATTGATGGTTTGTGTAGTACCTATATTTTGAGCTCATATATAAGTGTCAAGTTTTAACACAATAGAGTTTTTGGGAAAAATTCAATTTACTAAATCGTTATTTCGAGTCACATGATACTTTGCCAAGAGCTCAGGCATTTTGAGCCCCAATATCCTATTAGTCATATGACAAGCACAATTTATGTTATTTATCACCGGAAACATAACCTGATCTGACCATAATTATATAGATATCTTCTTTAATTGTGCTTTGAGCTCATATTTGACTGTGTACTGAATATATGTGTATTTTGCCTTTTTCCATCTTTATCAAATAGAGCAATATTGGCTGAGTATTCTGGTGCTATCCTTGGAGTATTGTCTGCTGTGTTGTATGGTAGGAGAAGTCATTTGTGGAAAAAGGTAACACTTGTTTTTTTACCATATTCAAATAAATAATACCATGTGCTCCAAGTAAATTAAATAATTATCGTATCTTTAGATGTTCCAATCCTTCCTTGCCATTCATTGATTGTTTTACTGTGGCCAGTGGAAATCTGGTTTTTATCTTGTACTTCAAAACATCATGGTTATGGATGTAAATATGGTTGTTGTTGATTATTTATTTTTCAAATAACATAAAGAAAGCTGCGTCAAGTTGTAGCATTAGTTTTGCATTTATGATAATTTTCAGCCATTGTTTTGACTGATTCATGTCTTTGTAAGATTATTTATTTTCTAATAAGATGAAAATTTCTTATTTCCAACCAGATAGATTGCCTAATTGCAAAGTTGAGTTCTTTTTACCTGTTGTTGGCAGATGTAATTTGTCTTCTGTTATGTCTAATTAGTGTGTTTGAAAGATAATTCCTTCTCTAATGAGATAAAATTTTCTTATTTCTAACCAGATAGGTGGCCTAGTTGCAATGTTGGCATCATTTTACCTGTTGTCAGAAGGGTGGGCCACGTCAACATATTCTCCGTTCTATATCCTTATACATGCTGAGTTCTTTTCTCATGCCTAAAGTGTCTGACCTTTCAAATATCTTTTCTTCTGTTTATTCCTTTTCACATTTGTCATGTGTTTCATGCATTTTTCATATCCATGTTATTCAAACTTAACTGTAAATTACCATGGGAAGATAGAGATGATTCTGAGGCTCAGACTGAACAAAGTTTAGGGCTGAAGGATATGTTGGTTCCCATCTTTGCTGGAATTTTGTCAGCACTAAGAAGGGTGATTGCAAGGCGTGTTTCAATCAAGGTAATAACAATGACTGAAAACAGCTGTGTACTTCTTTGGTGTTAGTTGCTTTGTATGTATCTTAGTTTTGACTCTGAACATCTTGTGTCTTCAGAATCAACTTAAGAGGCGACTGCATGCTTTAACTATTGCATCTGCGACGTGTTTCATGTTTCCTATTGCCATGTGGGACATCATCATAGTGAGTTCTACAATGCTATTCCCAATCCCTTGTTAATTCATGCTTTGTGGAATGTTCACAACCCCCTCTCTCTCTACACGCACGCACATATTTAGTTTGATTGACATTTGATGATTTCTCTAACTCCTCTTCCTTTCCTTCCTCCCCTTGGAGTTCTTCAGGGATCACCTTCTGGCAGCAGTGGAAGATTGCCGTTCTCAACTTGGGCCTTTCTTAGCACTATTCTTTTCGGAAATATATTGATATTCTATGCTGACAGTATTGCAGAGGAGAGGTATGCTATGATAGTCTTGTCATAATAATATTTAAGTGAGTAAAAGGATGGTTTATTTGCATATTCATAATTATTTACCTCTTGCTGTTCTGACAATCAGACAAGGTTCTGCATGATGATTAATTTTCCTTCATCAAATAGTAATTTTTTCTTCATCCTAATTGGAAAGCTGGATTTATTTCTCAGTTTTTATGAATTTAGAGTCCATGCCCATGTACTTTTCACTATATTGTTTCTGAGATTATGCATGCCCAAAGCAATTTTGGTTATAGCCAAAGTCACGAAAGTTTGATCTGGTTAAGATTTAAGTGGTGGTTGAAGTTTGTTTATGATGTAAATAAGATATTGAGATATCATTTGTATATCCGAGTCCCTCCAAGTTAAAAGTACTCTTTTCTCTTCTTAATAAAAGCTCTTTTTAATTAAAAAAAAATCTTGAGATTTCATTTTCAAAGAGGACTTTTGACAGTTCTGAAGCTGGTTGATAGTCTGTCATTTTATTTTACTTTTGATTTGTAGATTGCACATGGTTTTCTCCACGCCAAGGCATTTAATGGTAGCTGTTGCATGTATCATTGTGATGGAGATTGTCTACAAGATGGACTTTTCCCTTTTCGGCTTCATGATTTGCTGCTTGATTCTTGGCTTTGGTATGCCCTGCACTTATTTCTGTTAAATGTCATTGCCGAAATTTTTATAGTTCCCGGATTGTACCTGGAGCTGAACAGTTTGTTAATTGTATGTTGTGCCTTGTCTATGATATATGATTCTTTTTTTTTTTGGTGGGGGGGTTTGTAGATTTTCAATTCAACTAGCCAGTAAGGATGTGGTAAAAGAGTCAAAGACTACTGAAGTGCGACATCCAATAATAATTGGAATTTTTCGTATAAGAACATCCAATTGTTTGGCTTATTAATGATTAACATGTAACTACTACCCATAGTTGTTTTCTTTTCCTTTTTTTTTAAACTCATTTTAGTTGCACAACCCCCGCTATTTTTTTTTTCCCCCGAATCACCAAAAAATATTTTCTTGTGGTTTCTAGCTTAAATTACAATTTAGCTTAAAAGGACACTGTTATTTTAGTTATAACTATAATCTTCTCAGCGTTGGGATTAATTTGCTCTACAAGACATGACTTTTTAGTTTTTACTCTAGGGAAACACTAAGATAAATTGATTGTTTATTGGGAAAAATTAGTGCCTGTTAGTTGTCAATAGCTGGTTAATTTAGTGCTAATGGAATTTCAGGAGACAGAAAGAGGAGGGAGAATTTGAAAGAAAGAGAGAGAAAATAGAGATAATTGAGAGAGAGATAGGAACGGCAGAGTAGTCTGTCTAATTTTCAGTCGGCAAAAGTGAATACAAATGAATAGTCTTAGGGCTTATTTCTGGAGCTCAAATCTTAGCCCTAGTGTGAAAGTGAGAATGTACAATTCTAAGAGATGAGATATTCTTTATTCAATAAAAGATAAATCTAATCTTAAAATAAACTAAACCCTAAAATTTTAAATTTAAGATGAAGTAAACTAAAGTAAACATGGAAGCATATTATTCATGCTAATAGATCTATATCCTTTAGCACAATGGTAATGAAAGTAGATTTTGTGCTCTCCTTCTGTAGGATCCCTTTTCAGGGACTGTTAGGATAAAACTCAAAGTTATCAATGGCTATCATTTTTAATTACTCTTCCCATCCCAAATTTTAAGACAATTTGAAACAAAATTATGCATACCAAAAAAACACAATAATGACACTACAAATTTTCTTTTTCAAAACAAATTTATAAACTTTCAAAGAAGCCCCTGTACACTTAATCATTATACTATAATATCATTTCAATTCTCTCTCCACTTCAAAGGTAATATTGAAAAAAACATCATTAATGAAACTTTATTTTTTTCAAATTGTCTTATATTTTCGAGTAACAAAATACCTTCAAAGTTGTCTTATAATCTGGGATAAAGGAGAGGAGCTTGCATCATCCCTTTTATCACTCTTGAGAACAAGATTTGTTAGCTATGTATACAGAAATAAGGTATGAGTTGTTGAACACTAAGCAGTAAATCTTGCCTTCGTATTGCATAGCTTCACCATCAATTTTGCAAGTTCTGAAAGTGGATATGCTTGTTAAAACTCATCTTAATATAAGTGAAATAGTTGTAATTGAAATTTTTCAGCCCATTTTTATGTGATTCAGTTCTGTTGTTTAGTTGATATAAACAATTCATTGTAGTTGTAATTATATTATGTAGGGATATATGAAGCAACTGCTGTAGAGCGCGGTAAAAAAGATTCTTTACCAAAGTCAGATTTATCAAATGGAGAATCATTGGACCCAATTCAGATGTCTCCATTACCCACTTGATGTGCGTATATTTCTCCTCTCAAGTTTTCATCTCCAATATTGGATCTATCTCTTCTATTTGTTTACTTCATAATGGTTCATTATTTGTCGTGCTGGAAGCATTTCAGTCTATAGCTGGAAACATCGTGTTGACAGAAACTTTTGATTTGAGCATGAGTATGTTATAACCAAGGAATAAAAACCAAACCAACTAGTTCAACTGGTGAACCAGATTGGACCAGCCATGTTGCTGGTCCAGAAGGATGTTCGATCTGGCAGTTTAGTGAACCGTTGATGAACTGGTTAATTCAGTATGAGACCATTCCAAACCAGAAAAACCTATGGGTTGACGATCAAGCCAATTTACATGATTTAAGTTGAGAGCTGCATGGCTGATGAGAAAGATAGAGAAGGAAAAGGAGGAGTAGAAGGCGACAAGGAAGGTGTTTGTTAACATACATTCTAGAAGCTGCAAGATAGTAGCAGAAGTTGGTATTACAACAGCCACAGAGAAAGATATAATACAGCATAAACATGATTTACAAGTTAAATCGAAGTCTCTCTTCATTTTAAAACACTAATGCACATGAACTAATGAAGGTTGAGTCTAACATAAAGGGCTAGCTCTTAATAATGTGATGAATTAAGATTCAAATTTTTGTTGATATGCTCATATTTAATGTCTAACAATGCTTTAAACAATATTGCCTCCAATTAAAAAACACTTGCGGCAATAAAAAAACACTAATGCATATGATCATTTGATGTTGCTGCATGAGCATTGCAGAACTCATTGGATTTTGATTTTGGGAGCTTAGACTAGGAAGAAGCCACTGTATAACGAAGCTGGTAAAATGAAGATGGAATTTGAAGAAAGAAGATGAAAATAGTTCTTTTAAAAAAGAGAGAGAAAAAACGATCGGATGATCTTGACAATTAAAGCAACAGACAAATTTCGGGCTCAAAACGATGCGTTCTATTCAGGTGAAAAGCGGCATTTGGAGATGCTGAGGAAATGTCGTGATTTTGAAGAATGGATGGAATCCTTAATTTGCCTTGACAGTTTCATTTTCTTGTACCAAATATAAGAATCCGCTCGCAGTATTAAGTATGCTCTTTTCTTTTGGCAGGTTAATTTTTTGTACTCACAGACATGATGAACTGTTGACCTCAAGCCTGAAGCCTTTTGATATCTTTAGAGTTGTACTTTGTCACCAACAATTTCATTTTGTGGCGCCCGTTGCTGAGCAGCCGTTACATCCTTTCATAGTCCTAGACTGCTAAGAATTGTGTTATCAACCATTCTGGAGACTTCCACTGCAGGGCTTGTTGGATTGGCAAAGGATTCGTTAAGTTCTTGATGATTGATCTGATCTTTGAGGAGACTGAAGTCATTATTATATGTTGTACAGGATCATTCATATCTTATAGTCCCTTGTAATGTGCTGAAGGATTTATTATGTGCTCAATCCTAGTTGACAGTTGTCCCAGTTTAAAAGTTATTTTGTACTTGTGATTATCACGACATCACGGAAATTTTATTTAAATTTTTCGATGCAAATGAATAATCACTTTATGCTGGTGCCAAAATCATTGAAATTATTTGAATGTCAAATAGTATCTGGTTCTATGGATTGGTATCCACGACAAGTATATGCACATTGAAACTCATCGAAGTGGTCAATAAAAAGATTGAATAAAAGTTTAACCAGCAATTTAAAAATCCAAGGGTAAACTATGCAGCCATATATATAAGAAGAATAGAACTAAATGATTGTTTCAGGTTAAAATTACTTTCAAGAGTAGATCTAAATTACTTTTAACATTTTCTAATTGATATTCTCTCAACAAGAGTTATAAATACACTTAAAATAGAATAATCAATCATCAAGGAAAACTTGCAAGGGAATTTTTAAATCTTGAAATCCAATCCTAACAGCTTCAACTTTCAAAGCAGTACTTGTTTGGTCTTACATGAGCAGCTGCATTCTAGTGGTGATGCTCCTTTTTCCTTGTAGTTCTGGCCAATCCTTTGGTGATAATGTGTGTAAGAATCCCAATCGGGCAAAAGAAAAGGCAAAGAGACACTGAATGCCTAGTCTCAATTTGATTCTCCAGCCCATCATGAAACACCTGCCTGAATTCATCACCAATATTTACAGTATCAGATCGATTCCTAAGGGATGTGAAGGAACGTAAAGCCAGTGTTAGATATTTCCAATCCATTCAAAAAGTGACTAAGTTAATTTCAGAGAGAAATAGATACGCTTTTTGTGGGGACTCACGTTGTGGAGTCCATTGAAATGAATTCTACCACTGGAGTGTATGTTATACATTATGTCAATCTCCTTTAAAATTGTAACCATCAAATTTTTGTAAGAAACTGAGGATCCGAATCTTTAAAGCAAGGAGGAGGAAAAGAAAATAGAATGCAGGACCTTGCAGCAAAAAGATCAACAGCGAGCAAGTGAATCCAGGCAGAGGCTAAGGTCATCTCACTGGTGAACATTTTTCCTATACTAGTAAGCTGCATCAAGTACACAGAAATAGAGGCAGAAGAAAGAGAAACACACGGTTGGATAGAACTGTTTTTGGAAAGCAAAATTTCATTTATGAATGAACACACACCTCCGGTAGTAAGTATTTGCTTGCAAATATCAGCTGAACAGTCTCAGGGGTCCAGGAAAGGTAAAGTAGATAGGCATACAAAACACCGAGCACAATGTACGGTATGCTACTCTCCATGGACCTTTTAGTCTGCATTTTGCATTTCGGAAAGTACATTAGATAATTTAGCCATAGAATCTAACCCTGTTTGACATGGAATCAGTCAGAAGAAGAATATTAAAATTTTACTAAACCAACAATTTAGGACCACGGAGAGAAAAGTTAAGAAGTATATAGTCTAAACTTAGGCATCCACATTGTTCACAGGCAACAGAAGGGTTATCAATTATCTATGCTTGTAAAACGATGTTTTCCATGGACCAAACAATCCAAGACAAATCGTGTTAAGAAAATTTCAGTTACGGTAAGAACACATACTATCTCAGATTTTGGAGCAAGAACCATGAGTGTGTAAAACGGGAGTACTGCTACTGTTCCCAGTGTAAAGACGCTGCTAGCAAGTTGAGGGCCAAATAACCCTGCAACATAGAGGTAGACGAATGAAAACAGGGAACTAAGAGGCCATCTCAAGTTTATTCAAAAAAGAATTAAAGAAATGATCACAGAGACTATGAAAATTAAAAACATTGCGTTGCATCTGTTAATAAATTAGAACGCCAGTTTGGTATAATGAAATACTTCCTCCGGTCCTAAATGTAGGAGCTAGATAAAATTAAGGAAATTAATTAAGTTATTTATGAAAAATGTGTTGATTTCCCTAAAGTATCCCTCCTTCTAATCATTTTCATTGGAAACTAGTTTGGGAGAAAAATAATAAATTTGGGAGTTAAAGAAGATTGAGGTCTTGTATCTACAACCAAAACAAACTCCTCAACTGGATTCTACATTTAGGATAGGAGGGAGTAATTAATAACATTTTCACTAAATTTTACAACAACAACTGAATCGAAGAGCTAGGCGACAATTTTACAAGCTCAGCTGCAAGAAGAGTAGGAAATTATGCATATAATACACTTAATAACCACAGAAGATAGAGGTCTTGTATTTAGGACCAAAACAAACTCCTCAGCTGGATTCTACATTTAGAACAGGAGGGAGTAATTAATAACATGTTCACTACATTTTACAACAATAACTGAATCGAAGAGCTAGGTGACAATTTTACAAGCTCAGCTGAAAGAAGAGTAGGAAATTATGCATATAATACACTTAATAACCACAGAAGATAGAGGTCTTGTATTTAGGACCAAAACAAACTCCTCAGCTGGATTCTACATTTAGGACAGGAGGGAGTAATTAATAACATGTTCACTACATTTTACAACAATAACTGAATCGAAGAGCTAGGTGACAATTTTACAAGCTCAGCTGAAAGAAGAGTAGGAAATTATGCATATAATACACTTAATAACCACAGAAGATAGAGGTCTTGTATTTAGGACCAAAACAAACTCCTCAGCTGGATTCTACATTTAGGACAGGAGGGAGTAATTAATAACATTTTCACTAGATTTTACAACACTAACTGAATTGAAGAGCTAGGTGACAATTTTACAAGCTCAGCTGCAAGAACAGTAGGAAATTATGCATATAATACACTTAAGAACCACAGAAGATAGCCAAATTCCTAATTCCCCAGCATGTAAAACCATGTGATTAAGGCTTCGCAGCTTGAATTTAAAAAAAGAAGGGGAAAAATTCAGAACAGTAATGATAGCAAATATCAGCACCTACATAAAATTTCTATACACAAAGATGCGTAGCAGAGGGGACGATGAGGATATCTATCTCTAAAACTTGACAGAAGAAAGCAGAGTAGGTCAAAGCAACAGCCATTCAAAACAGTGATAATGTCGAACATCATGCATTAACTGACCTCACATTGTACACATAAAGTATACAACGGAAAAGTGTCAATCAAAAATATATGATAATCCCTTGAGAGTTCACATAGACGTGATGATACAAAAGTATTGGTAACAAGCATAAGCTAATTTAATGAATTTATGCACATATACCAAATCATTTGTTTGCTGTCTTTTTATAGTTAAATGTCATAATGTATGAGATTAACATCAACTTATACTGGATATTTCAAGACCACCCTGTATTATTCCTAAAATTCTGCGATTCAGTTTTGTTCTGCTGGTAACCAGTTTATGATGTTTGTAAAAAAAAGTTAATGATATGACAACTTGTAATAAATGAAATTATATTGATGGGAATCCAGGGGCAGAATTCATGGGTAAAATTGACTGCTGAAAAGTTTAAAAAAAAAAAACTTTCAGCCAAAAGGAAAAGAAAAAGAAAACTTACAAAAGAGCCTGAAACTTCTGTTATTTAAAGCATACATATGATAGTGGCATGCGTGTGCAAAACCAAATCATTACAAACTTGAGTAAAGCCCTTGAACTATTTAGAAAAGCACAAGATGCATGAATCTTTGAATCAGAAGGAAAAATAAAAACAGAGAAGAATGTGTAGTATAAAAAGGAATTACATGAAGCATATGTTCTGCTACTTTTTCGATAAAGAGTGCTCACAACTTTTGGTTTAATAGTTACTCTTGATCCTCCTATGAAACTCCAGTCTCTGCTAGAGTTAAGCCTATTCCCCACAATTCCTGCTTTAGAAAGGCCATCATCATTTCTTCTTGCAAGAAAAGGAAACGTTTGTCCCCTCCCATTGCAAGGTTTTATAGTCTGCCACAAGTGAACAATCAGTAAGTGATAGAACCTTATTCGCAAGAAATCTTCTTGAGCCCCGAAATGTTTCATTATGTTGTTTATGAATAATAATGAACGAAACACATGATTGACGGCTATTTTCCATTAGAAGGAAACTTCTTTTCAGGGACAATGACTAGGCCAATCGTTGCAAGTCAGATAAACTGCAAAGCTTCGCAGCAAGCAGTTACACAATGAATTATTGATGTAGCAAAACATGATGATTAAAACAAAACAATTACTTCCAGTACTGCATGAGCTTAGAGGCAAGGAGACAGAGACAGAGAAACAAATTTTACATGATAGACTCCTTTTGAAACTACTATGGCAGTATGATGCACCTAATATAGATCCACAGAATGCCAAAAACACCGACATCAGATCTACCAAATTTGAAAGCAAAAACTGCACACAAATCTCACTGATACAAATCTTTACCAGACAGCCAATTTCAATCCTAAAACGAGTACAGAAGTTCGAAGATTCAAGGAAAAATGCAAAAAACGAGAGCCACGAAACAACGGAAAAGAACTCAAGTCCAGGGAACCTCGAAGGAAACAAGAAATTCATACACCAGCAAATAAAATTAGAAGCGGAAAGAACAAATCAAACAACGGAAAGCACAGAAACCGTACCTTGAATGCTAGAAGCGGAGAATGGGAAAGGCAAGAAGAGAAGGCCATGACTGACACAATGAGAGATTGGACAAGAATGGCCGCTTCATATATAGAAAAATGAACCGCCTAGGAAGCAAGCAACCGAGCGAGCAGTGACGCAAGAAATTCCTCCAAAGGAAGTGAAGAAGCAGGGGGAAGAAAGAGAGTGATGAGAGAGAGAGAGAGAGAGAGCGCACTAAGTGGAAGCGATGAAGCAGCATGGAAGGACATGGAAGACAGATACAGAAAAGCAGGCAACGTTCATCTCATCATGCCTGCACTGCCGTTTGTCTCTTTCTGCTTTTTTATTTGGGCAAAGTCCAGAGAATAACAAGTCAAATAATTAAAAAATATTTAACATCAAATAAAAAAATTTAATATTAAAATATGAAAAAATATTATAAAATTATTTTAAAATATATAAATAATAATTTAATTTTTCAAGATGTTATAATTTTTTAAAGTTTTTTAAAATTTTTTTATTATTAATAAATTTATTTAAATTATTAAATTATTCTTGTTAAAAATAAATGCTTTATAAATTTTGTTTAAATATTTATAAATTTTTTTATTATGTTTACAATAATATAATATTAAATCATAACTTTATAAGTTAAATTTCATAATTACTATTATATTATTACGAATATAAAAAAAATTATAAATATTTAAATAAAATATGTGAATAATTTATTTTTAACAAGATCAATTTAATAATTTATATAAATTTATTAATAATAAAAAAATTTTTAAAAATTTTAAAAAAAATTATGATATTTTTAAAGATCAAATAATAATTGATATATTTCAAAAAAATTTTATTAATTTTTTTTAAAAAGTATTCAATTTAAAAACGTTAATATTAAAAAAATATTAATTTAATATTAATATTTTTATGAATCTTACTTGTCATTGTCCCCAGTCTCTTTCTGCTTTTCGGATTTGGAGCCATTTTTCTATTGGATACCTCAACTCTATGAAAAGCTTGGACTACTTTTCTCTACACCCTCACATGTTGCTTTTCCACTTATAATTAATCATTTCATAATTGAATATGAAAAGCTATTATAAAAGAATACTACTTTTTCAAACTTAATATTTTGTGCATAAATGATAAATTTCATTAATTTTTGTTATTTGTTGACTCTGAAATAAAAAGGAGAGATTGATTATAAAAAATATATTTTACTTCTCTAATTAAATTAATTGAATTAGCATTCACAAAAAAAGAAACTTAATTGAATTAGCATCCTATATCACATAACAGGAGCACGTGACGCCCTAAATGTGCTAATCATTTCTTGATTTTGGTACAACTTTTTTAAAAAAATAATTAATTAATAATAATTACAAAGGACAATTCTTTTTTTTGGAAAATTTCAGTTAAAGACTACAAAAAAGATTTAATTATTGGTGAGTTTCAAAAAAAAAATCTTTTAATTCTTCAATTTTTAACTCACTTGTAATTCAGTCCCTCAACTATAACTCGCCGCGACTCAGTTCCTTAATTATAACTCGCTGCGATTCAGTCCCTCAACTTTTGATTCACCTATAATTCAGTCCTTATTTTTTAATTTTTTTGAAAAATTTCTTATCAAATAAGAGGGATAAAAAATGTTCATATATTATTCTAAAATACCTTCTTCTTGCTCATTGATGTGAGATATAAGTTAATATGAAAAAAAATTAACAAAAGTTTAGGGACTAATTTGTAAGTGATTCAAAAGTTGAGGAACTGAGTCATAAGCGAGTCATAGTTAAGGGACTGAGTCACAGTGAGTCATAGTTGAGAAATTGAGTTACAAATGAATTAAAAATTAAAGGACTAAAAGATCAATTTTTTCTTCAAAAAATTATGAAACTTTAGTTCAATCTAAGGAAAAAAGGTCAAAATAATTTCAACATTGAAAAGACTAAAATACCCTTTACTTATTATTCAAAATTATTAATTATTAATTTTCTTACTTCACTTCTTAATTAACTAATATCACTTATGGCAAGTTTATCATGAGACTTCTAACTAATTCTTTAAGAGCTAAGAGAGAGCTTACTAACAATCACTTTTATCCTTTTAAGTGTAACAGAAAGGAAAATATTATACATATACTTCGTGAGTATCTTAGAGCCTGTGAGGTTTGGAGTGTTAATATTAAACCTAACATGAAATTTCTTTTGTGGTGATTTGCAGGGTTGGACTGCTTGGAACTCACATCATAATCCAACCAACAGTAAATTCAGTCAATGGACATGGGTGAAAATATTTGATATAGTATGTTGGACTCTGTGGAAGATTAGATGCTGAAAAGTATTTGGTTGGAATTCAATGTCTACCGATGAAATTTTGCATGCCTGTTTTGCTCAACTCACAGAAGAAAATATCATCAGTACGATCAAGAACATAATTTTCCTTGATGCTATAGATTCATAGCTACATTGGGCTCTCCCACCACCTGAGTTTGTCCGAGTTGATGTAGATGCATTAGTTTAACAAAATCAAGAGGCAGCCTGTGGAGGAGTGATAAGGAACTCATAGGGAGAATGGATCTTAGGTTTTCAAAAAAAACTTGAATTCATAAATGTGGTTACTACTAAACTACATGCCCTTAAGACTAGTTTGGAAGTCTGTCAATCTCTCGAATTTATTAAGGTGAAATTGTTTTCAGATTCCTTTAAAGCTATCAATATTTTAAGGAGCAATAGGGGTGATGGACACAGATACAGAAATATTTTTGATACTAGAAATATGATTTTTGATGATTGGGAATTGAGTCTAAATCACGCCTAGAGACAAGCTTTGAAAGTTGTAGATTGCCTAGCAAAGAGTGCGAATGAAGGGGAGATGATGATGCGGCTGATTTTGGTCATTCCTGATGAATGCAGAATTTTGATGCAGGAAGATACAAATGCTATCAATTAATTGGTGGTTTTCTTTTGTGATTGCATTATAGGACTTTATTTTAATGTAATTCTCCCCAGGCTTTAAGCTTGCCACTTTTATTTATTTAAAAAACTAATATTATTTATAAATTATGTATATTTATCAGATAATTAATAACATTAGTTATTAATTTGCTAACTCTATTTATTAATTTATTAACATTATTTTTAAATTATAATTTATAATTTACAACTTATATTAGTAAATTAATAAGTAAATTTATCAATTTAACAACTGATGTTGCTGCTTATGATTGAACAACTGATGTTAAGTCTTATATAATTAGTAATATGTCAACTTAAATAATTTGTAACTTATATTAGTAAATTAATAAGTGAAGTAAGAAAATTAATAAGTAGTAATTTTAAATAATAAATGATGAGTATTTTAATTTTTTTAACTATTAAAATTATTTTATCTTTTCCCTCCTACATCCAACTGAAGTTTTAAAATTTTTTAAAACTCATCAGTGATTAAGTATCTTCCATGATCTCTAACTGAGGACAGGCTTTTAAACTTGAGGTTATTATTTGCCAAGTGTCTACTCGACCAACAGCTAAAAGGTCGAGTTTTAGGATTGTTTGATTTAATTTTGATAATTTTTTTAAAAGTTAATTTTAAGTGTATACTTTCAAAGAAGTTAATTTGCCAATGAGTTTATAATTGATATTATTTCTAAAAAGTCAGACTATTCGTTAAATAAATACAGTATATTTTAATGTTAGAGATCAAAATATTCCTTTCATTAAATTTTATTTTATAATTTTTAAGGATAAATTTGAAAAAAAATTAAAAAAGTATTACGGAAGAATTTACTTGAATTTTATTCCGCAACTGACTTCCTAATTTTATCCTAATTTTATTTCATACTCCCTCATTCAAAAATATAAAATATTTTTTTAAAATTTAAATATTAAAAAATATAAGATATTTTTATTATTTTAAGGTATAATTAATGGGTTTTTTCAAATTACTCTTAATAAATAAATTACTTTATATTTATTTAAAATGAAACATTTTATTAAATAAGGTGGATATGGAAGTATGATGTTATTTTAAAGATAACTAATTACTTTATTAGGAGATACAATTCCGTTAAAAATATCTTATGTTTTTAACAAAAGGAGTAAGATTTAATTAACATTTAACATTGTTATCTTACAAATTGTAAGAGGCACCAGTGAAGAGAATAATATGAATAATTTTAAACCTTGTTAAAAGAAATAGAGAAATGGCAAAGAAAGCATTTAAGAAAGTTATTGATCAAGATCTCTTAATTAACAATATTTTTCAAATTTCAAAGCTTGATAAATGATAGAATATGATAGTATCATATAATAGATATAATCAATACTACTTAATGAGATAATGCTTATTATTATTGTTGTCATGTCATTGTCTCACAAATCAAACTTAATTCAGTGTATGACTCTTTTTTTTAAAAAAAAAAACTTTAAAATAATTATATTCAAATTCCATTCTTTCAGTTTTAACATAAGTAGAAAATAATAGCTTTTTTCCCTAAATCCTTTATACATTTTTTTAGATTACAATCATTCGTCATAATACCAACATGAAGCTCGTCGAAAAATCAAAACACCAATGTGAGGCATATAAGCGCAAGCATTAGTCTACTTGATTAAATCTAGAATAAAGGAATGTGATACTTCACATTATGGTATAAAACCAATTTTTATTTTTATTTATTTATTTTACTTATTTTTTGGGAGGCTGTTTGCACGCTGTTTGTCTAGTTTACTGCCGGCTATGGAGACAAAGCAGCTCTGCTAAAATAGAAAACCATATCTGATTTAATTTTGTAATGTTTAATGTAGAGAAAATTAGCTCAATGGTTTTAAAAAATACAGCTCCTATAAATTATGGATGAGATTTTTAATTATTTTAAAATATAGCCCATTCATAAAATCAATTAAATATAACTTACTTTTTTATCCCCAGATTAAATTTATTATTAAAATACAATATATCTATTGTAACTAATCCTTAACTAAATGAATTATTCCTTTTTTTTCCTCTACATATAAAATTGTTGGTGCCTTTCTTTATCGTAGAGCTTTTTTTCTCTCTACTTCTCTGTTTTTTTTTAAGAAGACTATGAAGATGACATTAGACATAGAAGATAACTCTTTATTGCTGGAAGCAAAAGACTAGGCTAGAATTTATTATCTATCATCAGATTTTCACTATCTTCACATCTCTTTGTAATATCAAATTTTTTACAGATTATGTCTGATTCATTTTAGGCAAATAATTATGTATTTTTTATGTTGTTGATTTGTGATACTACATCATTGATATAT